ACTAATGATGATGTGAAAGTATCTAGTTAGGAGAAGATGGTTCCCAATTCAGGTTCGGAGGAACAGCTCATAATAAATTAATTATGCACATCTCATTTTCTTTTTTTTAAGTTTTCATATTTTCCAGGGTTATTTTTGTGGTAACCACACATTTGTTCACTTTTTATCAGCAGGTGGTGACATAAATCTACATTAATGACTGACAGAAATGGTGAAATGGTTGGGAGTTAGTTGGGAGGATAACGTGTATGGATGGGAGGGAGAACGACTGAAAGGCCACAGCACTCTACCTCCCCTCCACCCCCAAGCCCCCTGTCCTTGTGCAGGAATTTAATAGAGTCATAAATACATGAAGATGTCCTGCACTTCACAACTGCGGCAGCGGACTGCTTCAGGGTTATCATACATCCATGCGACAGACAGACCAGGTAGACTGGAGCCGAGATCTATCAGAAAACATCACAGTACCTCCGTGGGAGAGGTTGATGGGGGCGGCACATAATGTGAGGTATTGTGAAGGCCTAACTATAATGTGTGAACACATTTGCTAAAGTGTAAGAGTCACATATTCTCCTTACATCGTTCGACTTTTATACGAAATCAAAAAAAAAAAAAAGAAAAGCGTCTGAATAAACCCATTTTGGCCCAAATTTCACATACCGCTTAAAAGATTAAACTGACACTCAGAGAATCTAGGAGGCTGGAATCATTTTCTTACCTCCTCCAAGTACGCCCCATTCCACATGACTAAACAATAGCTGTGTTACATGCAGTTTAAGTTATAACCAGGGAGTCGCTGCTCTACTTACTCACAGAGAGAAAACAATCCAGAGGACGCACAAGAAACAAGCGGCGCACGCAATGGAACTGGTTATTCACGCAAACTGCACTGAGCCCAGTCATCTGAAAATAATGTCTAAACAGAGTAGGTGAGCTGTATAGGGTGAAAATTATGCCATGTATGCATGTTGAAGGAAAACTGTTGCACCACACTAAATGAACAATAGAGTTCATTGCATAAAACTAAAAGTCAGCAACACAAGCTGCAGTTTTCAAAAGAGACGACAAATGCTTGTCTCCTAAATTTCCTCAATGACAGGAGGTCTGGCTCGTTTTAAAGATTCTACTTTTTTTGGCTCTTTGTTTAATTTCACTCTGAGATTATAATTTTGGCCTAATCTCTGTTCCATCCATCACACAGTTATAAGTGCATGTGATGGATGGATGTCCCACTTATCTAATGAGGCCAAGATGAGTGTTTTGTTTTGTTTGTTTTTTTTTAATAAACCTGCTGGGTTAATCATTGTTAAGTCTTTCATAGGTTATTGCTAATAATAAGCATGAAAACATTTGTTGGTGATGTGCCAGGCTGCAGCAGACGGCTCAAGCCAGCTGCCGCTATCCAGGGTATGACTGCTAAGGTTGACAGATGGGCTCTGTCCCTCCATCCTTACTTCTCTTTGATCTTTGCGGTCTGTGACTGTCGGTCTGCCCCACCTCCAGCTGTCGCAGCCAGGGTGAGTGCCAGACAACGCCAGTCGTTCTGCGGAAAATGCCAGATGCCTGGATGCCCTGAACAACAGTGTCGTGCAGCAAACCCGGAGAGGGGATCGTCACCACGCTCAACGTGGAAGCAAGGAAATAAGATTTTACAAAATAAAAAAATAAAGAAATAAAAAATCGATCTTCTTCTGCTGTTGTTCTGCTCTTTTCTATTGTTATCTGCGTAGCATAAGCTAAAGCCCATATATAATACATAACATCTATGGCTACATTGTTTGTCTGATGCTTGTATACAACAAAGCAGGTGATTTTTATACACTATAAGTGCATAACAGGAACACATCTGCATCCGCAATAAGCCTGCTCATTCCTGATTTTGCTTGGAATATAGATCCAGTTTATTTAGCAGTTATAAGAAGGCCTGTGTGTTGGCAAACAAGTGCAAAATTGTTCTTCCTGTTTAAAAAACTTTGCACTAGTTAGCTGCGCTGCGATCACTGCTTTTCATTAGGAGGAGACCTGCAGTCCAGCACACAAGAGAGTTGCAGCAGGATGCCCAGACAAATAATTTGAATAATGTGAATTACATCATAAAATTTAACAAGCCATGCATACAAACATAGGTTATTAGTAGAAGGAAATAAGATTTTTAAATACCTGACAGAGCGTAAAAGTCAAACCCAGTCATTAAATGCTGTTTCGCAATAATATTAGATTTGTGCCAGTATATATGTCCGACACTATTTTGTGTGCATAAAATAGATAGCAGGTTAATGTCTTGCTGCAGCGATGATTATGTCCAGAAACTGCTGGATTTCATATAACGCATTAAAATTAATAATGACTCGGGACTTTTAAGAAAAGTTATGAAATTACAAGGCATCCGTTTCCAGAAATAAAATAAAAAATGAGTTGTAAGAGTGGTTCTTCCACATTTAAGAAAAAACTAAAATCGTTTCATTGATGCAGCTAGGTAATAAATCAGCCTGGAGAAAATAATCTGTAAAACAAAGTGACATGTTTCAGCTCGCTCGTCCCTGACGATATTAATTTGCGTTTTGAACTCACATAAACTTGTACGTCTAACATTAGCAAAAACTAAGCTGATCAGTGGAAAGCCACTGAAAAGAAAATTAGATTGTTTGACGGAGCACCGCGATGCGTGACGAGGCTTTACTTATTTAATGTGGCTTCTCTAACTTGCTGACAGACACATTAAAAAGACATGACAGCCTCAGACAGCTGGGACTCACCATCTGACTTTGAAGGATGTAACAGGGTCATGCATTGCACTTGCATACAATATTTACAATGTCTGTTCTCCAGTACGAAATACGGAGCTCTCGTATGTGAAAATCTGCAAATTGTGCAGATCATTTTGTCGTCGGCACACTAAGTAGATGCAACTTAAAGCACCAGGGGGTCATCTGGAGGGGGGTGGGGGGAAATCACAGATGGATACAAAGAAGGTGAGAGCTCTCAAAGCATGGACTATCAAAGGTATCAGCCAAGAAGTGGGTGTGAGGATGAGAAAATAGAAATAGAAAACCACACAAACAAGCAATGTGAGAGCCTGGTCTTAAAGAGACGATATTCCTGCCAGGCCTGGTGTGACTGCTGAAATGGCCTCAGCCAACAGAGCTCAGAACCTTACTGTGTGCTATCCTTTCCCCCCCCTAGGAAAAAAATGAACAAAACTCTCTAAAATCTTCATTCAAACTTGATGTTACTTGCTTTATTTTCTATCATTTTTTGTGGAAGTTTTTTTTTCTCTTCATGCATCTTTCTCCCTCTTTGCACCAGTGTTGCTCTTATTTATTCTCCTCGAACTGCTTTCTCTCCTAATCCTCATGTACCTCCGAGACTTCTTGCCTTGCCTCGCTTCATTTCAGGCTTTAGTCTGTTATAATGCATCAATTAATCTGTTGTCTTGACTCATAACAAATGAAAAGAGGAGAGTGTTTAAATGGATTCACTGGAACAAAAACTATATATATATATATATATATATATATTTTTTTTTACATCCTTTCAGCGCTAACACATATTTCAGCTGAGTGAAAAGTAAAAAGCAAATACAAAAAAAAATGAATCAGCTTTTTGAGAGGGATTAATAATGAAGTACTAACACCGAGTTTCTAGGACTGAGTATTGACTCTTTGCAAACGAAACCTCTGACCTCGGTCTTGGCCAGGTGGAATCGATTTGATTGGCCTCTGGCTCCGTTCAGCCTCCTACCTGGCCGGGTCATTGATTCGTTGACCTCTTGCAAAATCACGACGAGCTCGGGGATCTCGTAGAAATCATCTGTGGGCTGCCATCTAACAGAATCCGCTGAGAGATAAATGCTTTCAAACCGTGACCTGCCCCTCTGACATCTTGGAAGATACCTTATGCTGGCATGAATATGGTCATGAATATGCAACAGTCACTTTCGCTTTCTCCTGACGGAGTCGAGAGAGGAAGCGTTCCACCGGCTGTTCTTCCCTGCACACTTAAAGAGTTGCCATATGCTTTGAAATGTCAGTCCTGACTGCAGATATCTTTCTGGTTCTTTAACAATGTCAGTCTGAACTTTCAGAAAACTCCTGCTGCTTATGCAAGAACATCTTTCCTGCACTCCTCCTTTACTCTGTGACGGATGTGTGCATGAGAGGTCAAAATCATGTCCGTCGACACTTGGCGTATAAGTCCTGACGTTCATTTCGTAGCCTCAGACTGCCTTACTTTGCCTTATTTTTCTCTCCTCTTGCCTGTGTTACTCATACGTTTCTACTAAACGACATAAAAGACGAAAAAAAAATTAAAGGATTTAATGAAATCTTAAAAAGTTAAAATATATCATGAAAGTATGACAGTTCAGAAGCTCCGAGTTTGTTTTTCCTAACTTTCAGTTCATGTAATTTAGAGTTTAGTTAACATACTAAAGACCCTCTTTGCCCCCCACCTGCACCCTCCAGGCCCCAGAGCAGTTATTGATCCCCCAATTCATTATTTTTAGCGTTTTGAAATAATTAACGTCTGGTGGTGAAAAATAATTCCCCTCTCTTCTCATCCTTGGAACACAGATTTACAACGAGAAGGCATCCATTTCCTGATTCACATAATAAAATATGCAAACGCTAAACTACAGTATATGCAGTGGACACCGACGCCTCAGCTATTGACAGATTTTACTGTGAATCGGTGACTTCTACTCACCTACCGAGTATTGTAGGAAATATTCAACTGTTTCCTTGAATGGTTGTGTAATTCAAGGAAAACACAACTATTCACAGATTTGTTTTTCTTAGAGCACATCTGAATGTTCAAAAAGAAAAAAACAGCTTAAGAAGCTGAAATACCTTGGCACAATGGTAGTTGACACACCCGACTGCTGTTTGCAAACTGGCCAATCAAGGAGCATAATTTATTTCCCTTGGCTGTACCCTCATGAGCGTAAACAAGGAAGACTGTAGATCAGGGGTCCCCAAACGTTTTCCTGTGAGGGCCACATAACTTTTCCTTTCTCTGGTGGGGGGTCGGAGTCAGTTTGTAACAGAAAAAGTGTGACGATTGCAAGAGTGCCTAAATGTAAAAATTTATTGTTTTCCAGAAAGCACAATCAAATAACCCTCTCTGGGTTCTTCACAGAACAAAAGTCAGGAAATAAATAATAACACTATTAATGAAATAAATAACCAA